GAATATAGCAGTGCTGCACAGCTGATGAAAACTAGTAAAGAAACAACAAATCATCTGGAAACTATGATGTCACTTGATACAACATGGAATGATAAAAATAAATCACTTCCACAGTTTTATCCTGGGACATCACACTGCAAGGCATTCTGGGAACATTTCAGACTATAGAGGTAGATTTGTCTCACATTCATATCAGCAAACACAAGAATCATCACCTGTTATAAATACTTCAATGAAATTAGTAAAAAACATAGGGGGACGAGGCAGGAACCAGGGATGTTTGATCATCCACTTGGAGTGACCATCAATACATGTGGTGATATTGTGGTGGCTGATAATAGGAATGAGAGAGTTCAGGTTATAGATATCTATGGCAGACCAAAGTCACAGTTACAATTTACAGGATATAGTAAACCAGTCAGACCCATAGATGTAGCAGTATCAGTAGATAATACATACTTTATTACAGATGGAACATGGGGTTTCCATAGAGGAAATAACCAGGTGATTGTATGTAATCAATATGGGAAGGTTATACAGTGTTTTGGTGGAAAAGAATTACAGAATCCACGTGGAATCGCTATCAACCATAATAATGGTATTGTATATGTGGTTGATAGAGATGCACATTGTATAAGATTATATGAAATAATAGGTTTTAAGTATATTAAGTCAGTTGGTATTAAGGATCAAGGGTCATGTCAGTTTGAATATCCAATGTTCATAGCTGTTAATAGTAGAGGATGTATAATAGTTTCAGATGTAGGGAATCATCGTATTCAGGTTCTCACATCTGATGGTGTATTGATGTTTGCATTCAGTGGCCGTCCAAATGACAAGTTTGACTGTCTCCGTGGAGTTACTACTGATAAGAATGACAATATTTATGTATGTGATGCTAACAAGCATAGAGTGCAGATGTTTAACAGTAAAGGTGAATTTATAACCAATATTGCTAGTGGTAGTGATGTATTGAATACCGAAGTATAGCAATTACTGATGATGGTAAAGTTGTAGTCACTGATAACACGGATTGTATTAAAATATTTTCATAATAGTACAGCAGTTTCCTGTTTATGACTTTTGACCCCAGTAGTTAATCTTTCTTGTTTGTGTTTTCAAATGTTCTATCAATGTAACATAACTACAACTGTTCATTCAACTTAGTATAAAAATTATACATTTTAATATTGTGAAAACTTCCTAAATTGTTGTGACCATTGGAATCCCATTGAGACGGTAATTTGTATAGAAAAATTCGTGATTGGATTTCTGATAGTGAACCTGAGAAATTTTGTCTGTTATAAATATTTGTTAACGGTAACATTTGGTTTAAGCAAACAATGAATTTTACATGTTTTGTACAAGTTGCATGGGTCCCACATCATACACAGTGGTTTGTAGCGAGTGTAGCAATATAAAGTAAAAATGATCACATTCTCAAAACATCAAAAGACTTAGATGTTGTTGAGGGGGGCTCAACCATTTCAAAGCAATAATCAAAACATATGCGAACAAATTATTCGGACTGAAAGACTTAAGATTAAGATTAAGATGTTCCAGCTTACAAAGCGTAAATGCATCAAACTGGTTATGCTTTCAACTCGAGGAGTGTTTTTTTCTTGGCGGTTAACAACCTTTACAGTAAATCAGTCAACAAATTCGGTTGTGAATTATGTAGTACCGAAATGGTTTCAGTATGTCTCGTGTTATTATTCTAATCTATGCAAACAGGAAATTAAGCGATAATTTTGTTTTTGCAGAAAATGTTAACTCTTGTCTTTTAATCAATTATTTAAATAACTTGATATGAAAATGTAAGTTTACAATTGTGGGAAAATGATGGAGTAATAATTATTTTGTCCCTAACCTTATTAGTTTTTAATAAAAATGTAATACAGATGCGACAATAAGAGGAAAGAAAACTGTTTATCATATTAGCGCTGGTGAAATATTTAGTTAACTGATGTAAGTACATGACCATATCTAGGGTTAGCTGACTTTATTGTTTTCAATTGTTCTTCTCTGGTTTTGCAACAGTTCTGTGTATTTTGCATTTTGTATTATTGTTCTCATTATTTACAATGTATTTGTTATATTTTTTGCTAAATGGTGAGGTGATAACCGCTGAAAAGTGTTTGTTTTTGTCCTTCTCCTACATAAATGTCACATGTTAACATAACATTTGTTTTATGCAGAGTTCTTCTCGCATAATAAATCCTTTCTGTGTTATTATATCTCACTGTCTCTATTTGTAGTTTGTAATCTATAATTTTTAATGTTGTCATTAATGACCTGTAGTGGGTGTTTTAGCTATGTGTAAGTAGTTTTCAAAGCAAAATCTAATCTGAGGGGCTTGGTGGGAGTGCTCCTCAGCCTTATAAAAATAGGCATCAAAATAATCGATGTTTAGTGCATGTTTTGGGCCAAAAATTGGAAATTTTGGAGTAACAACAGCAGTGCATATCCAATATTTGACCAATATCTAATGTTTTACTGTTCCATCTACATTGCAAACTTGGTCAATTATCTCCACAGTATTTTGGTATATGGACATACGAATTGAAACACGTTATAGCCATAGCAGTAAAATTCCATTTTAAGAAGCAACTGTATTATGTGGAATTTAACTGAATAATTTACGTAAGAACTGGTCCGATTTGTACTGTTTTTATTATCTTTGTTTTTATTATCTAGTATCTTTGACTTGCTTGTTTAATGAGCTTTTTGAGCGGGTTATTTTTAATAATATTTACAGTCATGTCATGTCAACACAGGTTTGTCCGTTGTAAAACTGTACAAACCAATCTTGCTACTTTTTCTGTTTTTCTTTCAACAGCTTTCAATAACAATTTATCACGAATTTAGCAAGGCATTTGATTCTATACTACATACACTATCATTTCATAAACTTCCTTCATTTTGCTTCTGTGGTAACTGGTAGCTGTCTAATCTGCCTAACCGATTCCAATGTACTGTTGTGGATGGAAGGTTTCTAACTGGTCGTCTTTGTTTTCTAGTGTAACGCAAGGATATATTATTGGACCTTTGTTATTTACTTTAACATGCATTCGGTCATCAAATGTAATTTTGTATGCAGACAATTCTAAAACTTACAAGTCTTACAAAACTTACTGATTGATTCTATTTCAGATTCCATTTTGTTGCAAATAGATTTAAATAGTCTGCAGATTTGTGCCCGGTATACACAATGTGCAATCTAAAAACTTAAGGTAGAGATGCAGGTTCGTGGGTACTTGGGAGTGATTTTTTGTTTGCTTTTTATTATCCAAACGATCTTGGCATACTCAAAAACAATTTTAAAATATAGATAACAGGTGCAAACATTATCTCTTTTGAATGCTTAGCAAGATGTACATAAATAATAAAAAAAGAAACATGGTGAAAAAAAGAAATGACGGGATCTCCATATTATGCACTATATTTAACTTTTAACAAAACGATAATACATTTAAATTTGGAACTGTTGCAGCCATTTTAATTGTGAGCACAAGCAAACGTCTTACTGAGTGTATTGTTATGCAAATTAGCAATTATCTCAGCCTCTTTTTTGTGTACATCCTAAAACTTAAAAAAAAAATAGCTCCTGGACGCTTTGACCTTTTGTTTTGAAATTTTCACAAATGATTGACAATGTGTTTATCTTCAAAACGCCGTCGAGGCATTGTTTTTGGTTGAACAGTGTTACAGCAATAGTACAGACAACT